GTACGGCTATCTGGAGGGTCTTAAACTATCAGTTAGTTTGAAAGAAACTTTTAATAACTTTGAAAAATTAACACTTTGTGTTAATATATATTGTCAATTCACGGTTTAAGAATTATACTTAACCGGATTATCAATAAAAAAAATAATTTAATGTTAACTTGTTAAATTACTGCAAAAAATAGAGAAGTTACATCGAAAGTCAAGTCAGTTAAAAAAATGGCAGCACCACTGATGTCAGAACTTGTCAGGACTTGTCATCGTAGTCCGAAATTGAATAATTGAATTTCTTGCACCAAGGATCCAGTCGTCAACCTCACGGCTTTTTTGTTCGAAACTTCTTAGGGGATCGTTCTTAGTTAGAATTCCATGGAGACTAGTTGATAGTTATTCTTTATTAAATAATGAAATGCACAATAATTACTTACCCTGTAAGTTTCTCAACCTTTAAAATATCGGGTAAAATTTTTAACTTTGTGCTCGTGGTATGACTACTATTACTACTGTTTTCTTTCATCACATTATATTCTTATGTTTTGCGATGTTACGATACTATTTTATCGTCACAAATAGAAGCTTTTTGAAGTAATATGCTTCTTTGCGACCATTTATAATTCATAGCTATTTTTACTCTAGGAAATAAAGATAATAAAATGTACTTTGTATATTAATAGAATCAAATAGTGTCCTTTACTTCATAAAAAAGAAGCAAAAAAAGGGATAAACCATTTCATGTTCTTTTGTGTTTGAAAGTAGAGTTTTTTCTAATAAAGAAATGACGGCTATTGACCAAATGGCTATAATCAAAAATACCTTATCCGTATCGCATTGGTACGGCTAGCCCATAAATACTTATGACAAACAATGATGACATGGACATTTCCACAACTCGTCTCTTTCGATATTATAAATGTAATTTTAGTTTTTTCAAATTTACTCGCATAAGACAGAAGGTCAAATCCGAAAAATTTATTATTAATCCTTTAGCTTTTAACTTTTTACGATTGCAAAGTTAATAGTAACCTTCTATAAATGAAAGCGCTATGGCTCAACTATTATTTTAATTAACACCTTTAGATAAAGTCTGTAATGCAATCAACAGCCAAACCATCAATTTATTTAGGTCAGTCGTAATAATTTTTAATGACAGCATATTACATAATGATTGTTATAGTCTCCTACTTTATTTGTAATTACTTCATAACTCAGTTTTTTTTCATACATATATTTTTTTTTCTACCTAATACAATGATTCATTTGGATTTTTTTTACTATAAATTTTCACTTTTCGGAAAAATTTGAAAACTGAATGAAAATTTTCGGAGTACATTATTTTATGCTTTGAAACAATCACAACACTATTTTTCAAAACTAAATTCTTTCAACTACTTTTATACTTATTCGGTGTTTTCAGAATGTGATAAGGAAAAAATTATAAAATTCACCCCTTCTGAAAGATGGATTTAAGGAAAAAAAACTCCACTCGGTAAGCGTAAGGTCATTTTTTTGTACGTAGATTCTTGGAAAAAAATTTTTGAGTTGTAAAAAGTACTTTGATAAGTCAAGTTACGTTTTTTTAAAAGACTTAAACTCGCTCTGCTTACTTAAAGTCTGACATAGTTTGATTTTTCTGAGTTTTTTTGACCTGAAAAAAAAAGACCTGTTTAACTTACAATTGTGTCTTGATAAATTTTCTACTCATTATTATTATCAGGCATCAGATTGAATTTCTGATCAATTTCAGAATTTTAAGAATATTTTTTTGGCTCCTTTGAGATAATATTCTAATAAATTTTTTGGTAGTATAAAAAGATTTGTCACGTATATACACGTTTTGATTTAGAGACCCAAAATTAACAGTAAATCACTACTTCAGTCTATGAAGTCAAAGTTCATTTTTAATGAGAATTGATTCTATTGAAAAATTCATATTTTAATAAAATAAATATTATTGCTCAAAAACTTTAAAAAGTTAGATTTCGCGTGAAAGTTATGGGCAGTCAAAAATGTTGAGAATATTGTTCGGTTCTTTTTTAGATTCTAAAAGAGGTTGACTACCTTAAGCAATTGACAGTCAGTTTTAAACCAAAATTTGTGCAGAACCTTAAAAGTGTTTGAAAAAATTCTTGCGTACTTTCAAAAACTCTAGTTGCTTATAAACCTAGCAGTTAGTAGAAACAGTTGTGTAAATGTTACATATATCCTTACGAGAGATCGTCAAAGGCGACTTCGATAATTAAAAGTTTTAATACAATTAATAGTCGGATTGAGAAAAAACTGAAGTCAACAGTATACGTAATATTAGTATCTGCCTAATTATAATGTGTACAGCAAGCACGTGATAGGATATGCACACGCATTCCTAACCTAAAAGAGGCACATGTCATAGTCTGACTTTTATCTGACACTCTCTTGGAAAGGTAATTAACCAACGTAAAATAAATTTGTTTTAATACTACATATAATTTGCAAGAGCATGCTTACAAAATCTTTAACTATTTTCGATATGTATTGGTCTAATAGCTCATTCGTTGAAATAAAAGCAAAAATTATATGTGGATTAAGAAATTATGTTACAAAGAGTTGTAAAGGTTCTGGATTATTTATGGTTTAAAAATAACTGTTAAATAGGCATGAAGAAAACTTTTTAATTTTTCCAGATATTTTGAGACTTTTGGTTAGTTGTATAATATATTCTCTCAATAAAAATTAACCTAGTTCGAAACAGCATGATTAAGGAAAATGGAACGCTCAATATGAAATTTAAACCTAATCTTATGAAAATTCTACAAATGCTCAAGTTACATGTAGATGAATATTCTTATGGTAAAATATTTAGCATAATCTTAGACCATACATTGTGATCGGTAAAAATTTGTAAGTACGACTCAACTATTTTCGAAAAATGTTTTTGGCTTATAAATAGGTACACGTATTTCTAATAACGATAATTATGAACCTAACGACAGTTAAAACTTTTTCTATTAATTTTCTATTAACAGAACCAGCTCAGAAATTTTTATTAATTACATTAAAATAAGTCAATACATTTTTATCATTTTATAACTTATTTGAAGATATACGTTTTACATATAAGCTCAGAGCTCTCGGTGAGGTACACTCATATCAAACGATAGTTTGTGTTAATGTTTAGTTTTACTACCAATTTTTCATCTCTTAATATTACACCATGAATAAGTGGATTATTATTATTCTAAATTTTGCTGTGTATATTGCATTTTGCTGTGGCTTTGTTTTATTGGTACGTATTTTCTTGGAGCACAATAAGATATAATATAATATTCAAGTTGTATAGCGTTAGACTAAAAATGGTAAGTTAGATCAAGTTAAAATCCACGATTTTACGAAAACTATGGGTATTTTCAGCTCAATTTGTTGAGATGCTTGACAGTGTGAAAAGTTAGTTGTTAAATTAAAATAGAACGAATAAAAATGTACTTAAAAACCCTTTCTATCTTTCTTTACCAGCATAAAGATGATGAGGAATTACGACAACATAAACGCAATTATATAACAAGTCACCAACACTTTTGCTATGGTGAAACTGGTTTTACCGAAGGTAGTAATTTTTTAACTTTCAAAATATTTTAACTTCACGTGCTTGAAAAATTAACTGAACGTGAAACAAGTATCTTCATTTACTAGATTTGTCTTTCTTAAAAATCGTTGCAGAATTTGTTATTTTATATCTTAAATTCATACAAACTTGTTTCAGAGAAACATAAACTAATACGAGATACAGGCAAATACTCATCAGACATAAATTACTTTTGCTACGTGGGCTGCTATTGTACACAGGTTAAAGATGTATGTATAATAATGATACAAAAATGAATGACAACAATGTAACAAAATGATTATCATTAACAATTTTACACTTTTATTACAGCTATTAATAACTAAGAGAACCTTAAACTATGAATCGCTCACAGCTTCTGTCACTCGAAATTACTCTACTCAGGTAGCAAACCGTGTCATCAACGATTGCAAAAATATAAGTAAGAGAAAAACTGCTTACACTTTTAATCATCATCATATATCAACAATGGATTCTGCAACAAGTTGTTTAGTTTAACTTGAAAAATTCCATGTTTAAAAACGTTTTTTTTTTTTAAACATTTTTATTAAAAATAAACAAATACAATAAAAGTTTATACTTAATGAAAGTTATCTATTACTACTGAAAGAAACACAGCTTTTTTAGTCAGGACCCTAGAGATAAAAAAATTCCAACTGGTGATACACAGAACCAAACTTTTATTATTGATGTAAAAATGACTTAAAATTGCCTCAAACTAGATGAAAATAAGTCTTTATTATAGGAAATAATAATTTGTCTCGATAAAACATTTAAAAATACAATTTTGAACTTTTTTTTTTATTTTTAAGTGTTGAAAGCTGAAACTATGCCACTTTGTTAGTCACCATTACCATTAACACTAAAGACAGTTTTTTATATAGTATTATGCTCCTGTTAAATTATTTATTTCTACGTAAGTCGATAAAAAAACATTATAAACTCAGTTCTTTCCCAAATTTTAAGTATTTATTAAGAATTTTGTCAATAGTTTTGCTGCAAGCTTTATTGCTGATTATGTCTATATAAGGATTAAGCTTGCTTTTTTATTCTTTGTGTAATATTATATTTAAAATCCAGTTTGAAAGACAAAGTAGATTTAAAAGTGTTTGACTATCCTTAATTCGAATAAAAGTGTTGCTTTTAATATAGCAATAATCACTTTATTTGATAGTTGGTATATACATATGGGTATTGGATATCATCTGGATAAGTTAAAGCAGAATCGTCTGTATGTTTAAGCAGTTAAATTGTCAAATTTTCAAGTTAAATATTTTTAGGTACTAACAGTCTGTGTGCTGCTGGAAGGGAGGTTCACGATTGCTTGGCTAAACATGGAGTCGCTATTGAAGGTTTAATTGGGTACTTTGATGGAGATAAAATTTAACTACGAAAGAAATTCTAATATCACCTTCATAACTAATCTGTTCAAATATTTTATTAATTATTTAAACTTAAAACTTAGTAATATAAAAGTTAAAAGTTAAATCTTGTATGTCATATTAAATAAATATTAATAAAATACAACTAAGNTAATCTATGAACAGGGCTATTTTTTAAGGCTGTAAGGACTTAAAACTCACAGGAAATATATTATTAAAAAAAAATTTTTTTCTCGTATCTCACAACTGTATCATCACAGCAACAGCAACAAAGTCCTGAAGCTTCATCTCTACATTTTTTATCACTACAAAAATACAAATACATAGTTAGCATTTTTTCCAAGTTTTCAAAAAACTTTCATTTTTCAAAAGATAGCATTAATATTTTAGTATGATTATGCTTTCAGGATGATAGGCAATCTGTATCTTTTTTTTAAACCTAGACAGAGAATATCAAAAACCATCATCAAATATTTTCTTATAAAAAAAAAGGTGTTGCATGGTTGAGCAACTAATGTGAATCATGTTTTCAGTAATTTTAAACTATCATTTTTTTATTATTGTCTTTTATAGAAGATTTGCTATTGACTTAACTATCATGACAATCTTTGTAAAGTACAATATTATTTTTCTTAAATCTTCGTATAAGACTAGGTTTCTTATTCAAAAATAATTAAGAATAAACTAAGTAATTTTTATTGGTTTAGTTGATTGTTGACAAAAAAATAATCTTTTTAACGACTGTCTTTTTTTCAGGGATTTATAAGAGTAGGCATTGAGAAAAGTGTTTAATAAATTCGTGTTTAAAAGAAACGTTAACTATTTTCTGACATTTACTTTAGCAAAACCTACTTCATAAGTTGACTCAAGGCAATACGATTTAAACAAAAAATAATCATTTTAACGTATTGTCAATTTTAGAGCAAACGTTTATTCTACGGGCAGCGTTGAGTTTAAGCCACGATATCTATACTGTGTCATGTAAATTGAAGTCGAGTCAAAAAGTTAATGAATACGGAATACCACCTAATTCTGAAAAATTTGGCTATTTTATACTTAAAAGTCACTTAGAATCTTTCTGCAGTGGATATTTTTCAAAGTTACGTTGTTGTAAGAAAAGAAGATCTATGTTCTATCAAATTATGATGATTTCGATACGGCTGCATGTATTAGATTTATGAATATGTATGATTATTGTCCTTTTTTATGAATCTTAAACTTCTTGTGATGCTATACATAATTGTTAAATGACATTAGAACAGCCTTAGGCTCGTATGTGTAATAACTTATTGCGTCTTGAGAAATATTACAATGAAATCACTATGGAATATTTGAGAAGTAGCTTTCAATTACAGCCCTTGATACACTGAAAAAAAACTTAAACAGGATACTTATATTGTTTGGCATAAAAGTTCACGATTTTTCCTTTACTAGGCAGTAAATTTTATTCAATACTGTAGTAGCCATGAAATAATATCGTTGATAAGGCAACTTTTCTTAACAATCCTAATAACGGCTGCTTTTATAAGCATTGGTACAATAAACTTAATTATTTACAAAACTTGTGGCAAATTTTTATTTTAAATAACGTATAATGCAGTTTGCTCTAATAAATATTTAATAGTTAAAACATATTCTTTGATCCTTCAAGTAAAAATTAAGGGATTTTATAAAATGTCATTAAAAAAACACGTTATTCGTAAAACGAATATAATGAACAATCAGTCTCATGATAACCATTCTGGAGTAAATCGTATTGAAAAGTTAGTGTTTCATGTGTTGTTTTGTTTTAAGGTTCCTATGCCTTTGAGTTAAACAGTTAGAGAGAAGTGTAATTTTGTTATCAAGTTTATTTACATTTTAGTATGGATCGCATCATATAATCCATTTCAAAAAATTTTCAGTCTTTAGTTCGGACTACGAACACATCTTAGGTGGGCCAACTGCAAATATTAACTCTGAGAATGAAGTAGAAAAAAAAGAGAATCCATTCTAGCACTCATAGTAGTGAATTTGCGTGATCTAGAGGTATATAACTAAACCAAAGTCAATATTGTAGGAGTCAGAGGTTGTCCGTACAAGTTGGTCATATCATGAGATTTCATCGGCAATCATCAATGAGTAAACATTAAAAGTACCAGAGCAGTGATCTCGTCTGCTCACAGACGAATCCGCGTGATTATCAGTCAGTCGGAGTAATGTAACATTTCTGTTCAGACTTTTTATAACAGTGCTCCTTATGCTCCACCGTTCTTTTGTAATTATTTTACCACAATGAAAAAAATATTTTTGTGATCGTATGTGGAAATTATGAACCGAAAGATAACACGAAAGTATCTAATACTATGTATGTATGTATCTTCCTATATTATATAGTTGTTTGTGTGGAGAATTTCACACAAACCACTCACAACCCCCACTGCATCCCCCTCCACAAAATAAGGTAATAGTTATTTACGTAACAAGTGCGGAAAAGACGATTTCCCGCACGAGTAGTGATTGACTCACACGAGTGCCGGAGTTGATGGGAACGAGTACCAGTTGAGCACACGAGTGCGTAGCACGAGTGTGATCGCAAGATACGAGTTACCGTCACCGGCCACGAGTGCGAGTCTATCACGCGAGTTTGGGAAATCGTCCCGCACGAGTTGCGTACAAGTTTTTTCGCAATGTGTGAGGAAAATAGGTACAAAATAGGTTTGAATTTTGATTTCCAGTGTGTAGCAAAATTTTTTCCGGTGTGTGGCAAAACCTTTTCCACACACCTTTTCCGCACACTGTGCGACAAAAACCTTTGCCACACACCTTTTCCGCACACTGTGCGGAAAAACCTTTGCCGCACACCTTTGTCGCACACTTTGTGGGAAAATCGATTTTCCACACTAATACCAGTGTGGAAAACACCCATTTTCCGCACACTATTGTTAAAAATTAAATTTTTTTTCCCCTTGTTCCGGCTAAGCTTACTTTTCGTTTAGACACTTAGAGCCACCTTCCGCAGCCCCTAGTGATCCCTACACATACTCCCCGCAAAATTTTTCTAGATCCTACAAAGCCTCCCACACCATTTTTGTGGAATCGTACTAATACCCTACTAACCTTCATGGACCACGACACTCATTAACACACATACGTGTAAACACATTATTTTATTCTTAAAGTTATATTTTTTAGCATGCTACGATGAACAATTCACCTTTAAAATAAACTAATTTATACAATATACGTTAGTGAATATTAGTTGCTTGCAACATGTATATTAAAAATGTGGTAAATGTATGCAGATATCTTTTCCGTTGTTCTGACTTATATTATTTTGCATTAATATGTCCCACCACCCTCCACTGACCTCATGCATACTTAAATTTCTTATTTTAAGTACATATTTTTATATATTTTTCCACTATGCCCAGGATGTAAATAAATGGACTTTATACATACAAATAATTTATAATTAGATCAATTATATAATTACGAGTAAAATGAAAAATATATTTATATTCATTCTTTTTAAATTTACATTACATATAACATTCGTGGCGTGCTAAACTTTTTTTGATAATACTAGTGATGACCAATGAAAAAAAAATATTTTTTTTGTATTACTTGATACTAATACATACATAAATTTAAATACCAATTAGTTATATAGTAATACCATCCGTGGAAGTATTCCCCGGTAACAAGGCTCTATAATATGAGTCAGCTACCAGTCAAGTAATTTGATTTATATAAACGTGCTATTAGATATATACATGTTAATTAGAGTGTTTTGTAATTATTTATATTTTAAGTAGAGTATGATAAAATTGTAACAGTATTTTTTTTAAGGTTAAAAATTAAAAGCATGTATATAAAGCTCGAAGCAGCGTAGAGTTATTGGAAATCTGTTCGTTAATTACTTTCAGAATTTCTTTCGTAGTTTCTTATTGTAGCACTTATTCTGGGCAACAACTGTCTCATACTGCACAAATACTTTTTTTATGTTTACTTATTTTTTATCACCTAAAAAGTATGGAATAACAAATAATTGCATTGGGTGGCAATGCTAAGTGCACAGTAGGGGCCCAATATAGTGTGTATATGAGTTTAAAATGCATTGTTGATACTTAATGATGTGAAATAGTTTACACTTATGACCATTTATTGGTTAATAAACCATGTATACGAAACAAGAATCCTACGCAACAATAGGGAATGTATTCGTCAATTGTAAAGCAAAGATTTAAAAAAAAAGTTAGCATTTTTTCCAAGTTTTCAAAAAACTTTCATTTTTCAAAAAAACATTTAAAGATTTTCTACGAATTTTTTTGCAAAGTGAATTGTTAATATTTTTCCAGTTTCAGTGCTGTTTTTTTTTTTTTTTTTCTTTTCCCCTCCTCTCCATCTCGTTCATAAAGTCCGTGTATCAATTTGTACCTGCATGATAATGTGTGCTTTCCACGGTAATTCAGGTGGATGACGGAAGAAAGCGCGCACTCGCCCAACACGTGCATCGTGGCTTGTATTGTGCATACACGCGTTATTCCGAGGGGGAAAACTTAATCTCATGTAGCGTGTAATATATATATATTTTCGCTGGAGATACAACATATCTTCCGTTTGCAAGTGGAACTCGGAAGTGCAAGGTTTTTCGAGAGCCGATCGGGTGCTTTTCGTTCCATTGCACGCGTTATCGACCAAAATAATATTCCAAGCCGTTGGCGATTGATACGATACCGGTATACGTAACTGTAGACAATAATAGGTGTTTTTTCATACTATACATGTTAATTAGTTAACGGTTAATAGGTGATTTAGGTAACGCTTACAGGTATATAATATCTGATGGGAATGCCATTGATTTAAAAAAACGAAGAAAAGAAGATGAATAAATTAAAATTGTTTCCTGGTCAATACGTATAGGTATTACAGCGTAACACAATGCTCAATGATTAATGATAAGGAAATACGTATATCGGTTGGTGGTGATGCTGGTGGGTACTCTATATGTTATTATTATTATTACACGTCGTTATGTTTTACATTCAATCGTGCATTGTTCTATCAATTGCAACTATTATTACGGCTGTTTTTGCGTGGNATATATTTGTTGGCAAGGGATTACGGCTACTTTGAGGGTCTTAATTTTTCAGTTGGCCTCGTAAACATGTTAAAAGTCTTGACAAACTGGCACTTTATGTTTATTTATCTTGTGAAAACACTGTCTAAAATTCATACGTATTCAAATTTTTAACGAAAAACATACTCGAATGTTAAAACGATGAATTACCGCAAAACATTAAGAGGCTACATCAAAAGTCAAGTCAGTTAAGGAAATGGCAACACCACCACTATCAGAACTAGTCAGGACTCGTCAGGGTAATCCGAAAATTAATAATCAAATTTCTACCACCGAGAATCCAGAATAAAGCCCTACAACTTTCAGTAAGAAACGCCTGAGGAGCTATTAATTAGTCAGATCTTCAAGGAGACTAGTATACTGCCATTTCTAATAAAAGTTACATAAAAGTGTTTTAACAATGGGATGCCATTTTAATGGCTGTGAATGTTTCTAACGTTTAATTTTCTTAAAAAAGTGATGAGATGTACAACAATTTATTGCCATACCCTTTTTCAACCGTAAAAATGCGTAAGAAGTCAAAAACGTGATGCAATTCTTTCCCTGGCAAGTAGAACACATTCTATATCTAAGGATCTTCTAAATCCATATCTAAATTCTTATATAACAGTATTCTCTTATACAAAAACTAAATCCTAAAAGTTTACAACATCGTTTTTCTTCAGATAAAATTTCAAGTCATTTATCCTGAAGCACTCGTATTACCCTAGTTATTTAAAATTCCTTGAAATAGCATGAAAATAAATTTGTGAAAAATCAAGTATGATCAATAACCTTTGATTGTACTTTATTACCATAGAAAATAAAAGAAAATGTTTTTGTAACACGGTAAGATCATTTTTTTAATCACATAACATCACATCACATGATGAGATATCTCATATTTTATAGAAAATTAAATTGTATATGTTATTATCCCAATTAAGAATCTTACTAAGGACATTTACAAGAGAATTGTAAGAAGTAATATATTTGAATTAAAAGTCTTTAAATATTCTTGACGTATTGGCAAATAAAATTTTTTCAGTTAAAGAAATGACGAATTGTTTCCAAGTTTTTAATACTTATAAAGTACAATGATGAAATGGGCATTTCCACAAGTTAATAGTCTTTTTTAATATGATAAATAAAATCTTACTTTTTTAAATTAACTCGCATTAGACACAAGGTCGAACTTTGAAAATTTATTTTTTATCTTGTAACTCTCAATTATTTATAAGGTAACTTTTTATAGTAACCGTCACCTAATACGTCAGCTATAGGATCAATTTAAGGTCATTTTTTGAAATGTAGATAAGCTAAAAAAATAAATATAGAGTGAGAATTTTGTTTATTAGGTAAGTGGATTATAAAAAAAAGGTTCACACTTGGGCAAATCAATGGGTTTATTATTTTTTACTTCTGGCAGGTTACTTGGTTCATAATTTTTTTTGTGAATTGCTTCATTTACACTAGTAGGGCTCCGAATACTAGCATGCTTTGCACGCCAGCTACCTCAACTATTTGTGATTTTATGTTTTCCAGGTGATAAAAAAATACATTTACATGGAAAATGGATCTGCACAATTTGTCACAATTGAACAGCTCTTACTCGGAAAAGGGGTGCAATAAATGTAACTCCCATTTTTATAACTTTTCCAAATCCTGATATTCTTTATGTGATTATAAAGATCATTCTTTTGGCTCGTACCCATTTTCCCACATTTAATAATATACATTGTGTACATAATTCTCTCCCCCTGACATTCTGATAGGAATTAGCAGACAGTTTTTAAACAAATCTACGCTGCTTCAAGCTTTACATGCATGTTTTTAATTTTTTAACCTTTAAAAAAGAAAACGATTATCATTCTATCGTACTCAACTTAAGATACAAATAATTATAAAACATCCGTACAAACATGTAAGCATCGAATATCATAGTAAATATAAATCCATTTACTTACTGGCAATTGGCTCATAACATAGAGCTTTCTTAATAGGGCAATGCTTCCACAGAATGTATCATTGTAAAAACTGTTAGTTAAATTTATTATGTATTATTATCTTGCCATACAGAAAAAAATAAAAAATAAAAACTGTTTGGATAGGTCATCACCAATATTACCAATAAAAATTTAGCACACTACGAACGTTATGCTTACGTCATAATTAAAAAAGAATGAATATAAATTTGTTTCTGATTTTATTCTTAATTGTATAAATGAATCATTCGTTAATTATTTGTATGTATAAAATCTATTTATCTGCGTCCTGGGCGTAGTGAAAAAATTTATGAGAATATAGGTATACTTAAAATTAGAAATTTAATTATTCATGAGGTTGGTGGAAGGTGGTGGGACATATCAATGAAAAATAATATAAGTTAGAATAACGGAAATGAAATTTACTGTGAGAGTCATTAATTTGCAGTTTCTCCCGTGTAATCTATGAACAGGGCTATTTTTTAAGGCTGTAAGGACTTAAAACTCACAGGAAATATATTATTAAAAAAAAATTTTTTTCTCGTATCTCACAACTGTATCATCACAGCAACAGCAACAAAGTCCTGAAGCTTCATCTCTACATTTTTTATCACTACAAAAATACAAATACATATTCTACCTATTTAAAAACCTGGAAGATTCAAGTGATTACTATGGGGGTTATAATGAAAAGCTGATTTCTTACTTAATAAATTCTTTATTTATTGATTTTGATGCTGCTTTAATCTCGATAAATGTTCAGCGTCATTTTCCTGACACATTTGAAGTTTTCCTTCCAATTCGACTTCTTGCGACTTTTAGCATAGTTAACATTATTGTAAGCCCTAGAGAAGATTTTTGAACTCCATTAGGTTGTAATATATTTGTTGGCAAGGGATTTCGACGTCCGATAACCCTGAAAAGGACAGGTGAGCTTTTTAAGTAATTTCTTTTGTGACTAAAGTTTCCAGCAAATGTAATTGCCTCTATACCTCAGGATGATCGTCTCTGGTCTGCCGTTGTAGCACCAGACTGATCGGAAGAAAAACTACAAAGTCTGAAGCATTGGAGCTAGTTGTAAAGCTATTTTCCAACGTCTCTTTGTATAACGTCAAAGACGTTGGTGTCCAAAACACCTTTTTTTTTTTTGCAGACTCAGTTGTTTTGATGATCTAAGGTGGAGAGATTGGTTTGTGATGCTTGGCTAAAATCTAAAATCCTAAATCTTACTAATGACATTAATAAGAAGATTATAAGAAAGGATCAATTTAAATTAAAAGTCTCTAAATATTCTTAACGTATTGGTAAGCTAAGTTTTTTGATAAAAAATGAAAATTTTTTGCCAAGTTATAAATACTTATCACGTACAATGACCGACTAGACATTTTCACTACTTAGTAGTCTCTTTAAATAGAATAAATATAGTTCTAATTTTTCAAATAACCCGCATGAAACTGAAAGTCAAACTTTAAATATTAATTTTCAATTCTCCACCATTTAACTTTTTATAAGTTAATTTTTTATAATGACCTTGACCTAATACATCAGCTATATGATCAACGTTTTTTTTATTCTATACTTTTAATAGATTACTTGGTTCTAAATAAATCTGAAAAAGCTAGGTCTTGTCATCCCATTTCTCGCTGATCTGCCCCAGCCCTTATCTTTCTACTAGTCTACCCCTCCTTTAATATCCTTATGATCTACATTAGCCTATCATCGTAGGCCTCGGTCAGAAAAAGTGCATGGATACGTAGCTGTACTGTGGTACGTGTTAAACACATGGACTAAGCCAAAAATAACATAGAATATTGGTTTTTACGTATGTGGTGATTTTTAGACACTTTTGAATTATACAAATCAGGTTCAATTTTTGAGATTCCATCGAGGTATGGAATTTTTTACATGAAAGAACTTAAAAGATTTTGAAATGTGGAATGGTTCATATCAACCAGACCAATGTCATTGCATTGGTTAGCGATGTATCATCGGTAAGTGAAAAAAATTTCTTGTGTAATATAAAGCACTTTTTTGTCTCAGATTTTTGTCCCTGCACTCAGGTTTGGTTTATGTTTATTGCAGATATCATATGCATTGCAAGTACCACTAATAGAAAATATTAGCTATGAGGAATTGAAACATTTATGATAATTGTTCTATTAACAGAGCTTGCTTAGAAATACTTATCAATGCTTTTCTGTTCTTTTCTCACTTTTTGTAAGATATATGTATTATATATAAGCTCAAAGCTCTTAGTGAAGTATATACACTCATATTTAACAAAAGATACTTTTTACAGGTGCTCTACTAATTTTTAGTCTTTTAATATCACACGATGGATAAGCTGGTCGTCATAACCATTGCTTTGTGCATCAGCTTTGTTTTGTCGGTATGTTGAAACTGTTTTTTTTTTCGAAAATAATGAAATATAATCTAACAATTAAGTCCTAGACTGACCAAATAAAAATGACAAACAATTTTAAATTTTTTAGTTAGATCTAGTTTAAGTTTATGCTCATCCCAAACCTCTACAGAGTATCAGATTTACTTGTATAGATTTTTCGCTACTACAATAAGTCAGTGGCAAGATGAAAATAAAACAAATAATTATTCTCAAACATGTTTAATTTTTTTATTAGGTAAAAAATAATGAAGAAGCACTAGACCACAATGGCATTTCAATAACGAGTCTGCAAAACTTTTGCTATAATGAAACTGGTTTTACCAAAGGTAGTCATTTTTTAACTTTCAAAATATTCGAATTTTACGGACTTGAAAAATTAACTATGTGTAAAATAAGCGTCTTGTTTTATTAGATTTATCTTCATTAAAAAACATTTTAGAATTTTGAATTTCATGTCCCAAATTTATACCGATTTGTTTCAGAGCAACATAAACTAATACGAGATACACGTGCATACTCATCAAACATGAATTATTTTTGCTACGTAGGCTGCTATTGTACTCATTTCAAAGATGTATGTAGAGATAATAATGTAAAAAAATCACTTATTATTAATAGTTTCGTACATTTATTGCAGCTATTGCTTTTCACGAGGGTTTTAAACTATGGATCAGTCATGGCTTCTATCACTCGATCAAACTCTATTTCAAAAGCAAACCAGGTGATGAATCAGTGTAAAAAAATAAGTAAGAAAAAAATTATTTATGTCTTTAATTATTTATCAATATAGATTAACGATGAATCCTGCGTATGAATTGTTTGTTTCTTTTTACATATTTTAACCACATTTTTACTTTAAATAACTAATGATAAAATAATTTAAATTAAATCAAAATTGTCTACTGACTCAAAGTTAAGCACAATTTTTTTTAGTCAATAACGTAGAAACGCAAAAAAACACTATTATCAAGTAGTGATTAGATAATGGTGTTTTCCTTATTTGAATTTTAACCTAACAGATATAAATATAAAGTTTTAACATTGTCGTATGAATGACTCAAAAATACCTAAAATTAGCTACAAATGAATCCATATCGAAAGAAAATAACCATTATTTTAGGTAATAAAGTAGATATAGAAAATTATTATTTATTCTTGCGTTTGTAATACTTATAGCATAAACTACGACCCTTGTTTGATTTAAATTACTGTGAAGACTAAGGCAAGTTTGTGATATAGCATCAAATCCTTTATAGATTCAGTGTATTCCATGTGCGTCAATGGAAAAACATTACAAACTAACTTGTTTTTCAAATTTTGTGTACTTACTGAGTGTTTAATTACTATAGTTTTGTTGTATATTTTATTGCTTATAATGTCTATATTAGGATTTAGCGTTCTATTTTTTACTTTATGATATAATACACATGTATAGATTGCAAACTGTTGAAGTGTCCTAAATTGCAATAAATATGTTGCTTTTTTTTTATGAACAAGCACTTTGTTAAATAATTATTATATTTGTGCACTAGGTATTGGATATTTTCTGGGTATTATCTATGGATGAGTTAGAACGGAATGGTCCGTTTTTTTACACAGGTAAATAGTCAAATTTTTATGTTATATGTTTTCAGCTACAAACAGTCTGTGTGCTGCCGGAAGGGAGATTCACGATTGCTTTGCTCAAAATGGAGTCGCTATTGAAGGTTTAATTGGGTACTTTGATGGAGGTAAAATGTAACTACGAAAGAAACTCCAGTACATATCAACTATACCACTCATCTGTGAAAATAATCATTACCTACTCTAATAAAAAAAATCGACAAATATGAAAGTTAAATATATAGTACTCTACATCATACTAATTAAGTATTAATAAAATATATTTATGTGACTAAGCAGCTTGTTGTTATTACTCAATGTCAAATCTCTAAAATTTAAAAAGTTTTAAATGTTTGTTTATACTATATTCATCATTTTAATTTTTTTTACTGTATCGTTAAATATTTTATCACCATTTTATAAACGAATCACAGATCCTTTAAATTTAAGGCAACAAAATAAGAATCCCTAAATTTCAGAGCACAATCATAAAATTTGGTGTAAAGTTTTGTCATAAAGTTTGAATTAAATAAAAATTATGTTCATCTTTTTGTATCAAATGCTCAAAAAGTTATAAAAATTATTTAATAAAAAAAAGTCGTGAAATTTTATTGAGAAATAATTTTCATGTGTCATTTGGCCTATTTGAAAAAGAAAAAGTTTTCTGACATTTTTTTCTATAGTGGATCTTAAGAAAATTATGAATTTCTCAGTTTTTTACTATTGTTTTGAATCAATGGAAGTTGAGCTATTCACCATGTGCAGTTATTTGAAACAGCGTCACCTGAACGGCAAGAAGGAAGCAATTCTGGAAAACACAATTACATAGACTGTTATGGGCTGCAAACTTTGTTAAGTGTTTCTAGTATTTTTAATGCATTTTCTATACTTGAAGTATCGGTTTTCAGTGTCAACACTTTGTTTGAAACAGAAAACAACTATCACTTTATAGTTAGAAAAAATCAGCGTGTGGGACTCGGAGTCCCCTGGTAAGAACGAAGTTCTCGCATGTATATAGAAATCACATGTATAAGTACTGTAAAATAAAAGGTTCGTCAATACATACGACTTCAATACGTATTTTTTTTCGTGGGTTACGGTGGTATATTTATGTCCTCCCTGTACGTTTGTCATTTATGAAAGGCTCGGATATTTTTTATAATAATTTTTAAGGTTATTGTTAGGAAAAAAATTAGAAATATATCTTTATTAGAGCTCTAAAAGCTCAAAGTGTAGGGCCGAACGAGCCCAAGGGTTTTGACTTTCTCAAGACAATCTTGAGGCTTACCGGTCAACGATAGATATAGGTATACTTGTACACAACTGCAGGAGATTGGTTTCCGAGAGATATACCATACTTAACGTAGTTTCCTTGCAAAAAGCACCAAAAAAGGACTATACCATTACATAGATTTTAATCCACCGAATCCAATTATATCTTTATTTATAACTATGATTGAGCGCGCGGTGGCTCGGTCGGCTAGGTCGTGGATTGGCAAGTGGGAGACCGTGGTTCGATTCCCGGCCAGTGCGATTTTTCGGGCAAGTCCCTTTGTCATTTTTTACATGTGCTTTTTCATCACGCAATGCTCTTCGAGGAGGGTTGAAGGCAACCTCCTCGTAGCATAATTGCCTAAATTCCCCCTCCTTTAATGAGAGGCATTCCATCCCTCTTCCTTTTCTTCTCCCAAGTGCTAAGTGCCCATAGTAGCGCCCTTATCAAAGGAGCCGGACGTAGAGTACTATAATATAACAATATGTATATATATATATACATATACATATGCTATAATACATTACATTTTAAACTTCACGACAGTAAATAAACTTATCGAGCTTGGTAGATTTTAAAATTTTTTTTAACTGTGCGAAGCACGTGCCGTGTGATGCTGTATAAAATGCATGATTTTCAACTGTAATTTGTATTTGGCCTTTGATCCTCACGATTATCGTGGTCTTTANTATATATATGTAATTAATGAATAGATTTTTAATGAATCTCTTTTTATTACCCGTAACGATTTCGGATATTTGTGCCATCCTCATAATTATGCATGTCACATACCATGGCTATCGCCATTCAATTATTTCATCATTTCCTTTCTTCTGCAGAACTTCTAATCACTGTGGCTATTAGTTAGTATGATCTTGCATACAGAAGCTTTATCACCCAAAGAAATAAATCTATAAAAATTAAACGCTCGTTACACGTTCAGGCAAATTGCTATCTAATTACTCACTCAGTTATTTCTACAATTATTTTCTGATTAAAATTGGTTATCAACAAAATTTTTTTTATATTACTTTAAAAAGATTTTTTTATAGATCTTTGTTAGCTGGTACACGTGTACATCTCTACGATAGAAACAATAAATTTGCTTGTTTTTACTACTTGTAAAAGGAAATCACTTTGTATCACTTACACAAAAACTTTTTTCCTTAATAAAGCTATAATTTTTACAAATCAATATAAGCTTCTCTTATTAATGATATGGCATACATGTTATTGAGTATTTAATCAGGCCATACAAGCAGTATATTAAGATATCTTCACAAATATAAAATTAATAGTTCTTACCCCAAAATAATATACCATTTCCTTAAAACACTTTATCAAACAAGAAGTACAGTTGTTTCTAGCTGCTAGAGTTTCAAGCTCGTATCTGGTGTTCTCAAAATGATGATAAAATACTGGAAACAATAAATTAAGTGATACCCTGGACACTCATACTTTTTACAATAAAATCTACAAAATTAATAATATCGTAGCTCAGTTAGATGGTACCATTACCATCACATGTATATCTTATATGAAAAATAAAACTAGTACAATAGTAACAATAGAATTGGACTTTTGCAATTTTTGTCCACCACGAAACGAAACGGAAGTAAGAACAGAAGGCATTATCATAATAGTTGCAATTTTTCTGAGCAAGATGGAGAAAATTATTAACTTTGCCAATTGATTTTTTTACCCGTAGGTATAATTCTCGGCTTTACTCCTGTAACAACGCTCGTGTACGTATTTATATTATTTCGACACTTGTTGGATTCAAACGTACATATATCTACGTAAGCCAAGCGTGTCTAACCGATATTTACATCAGACAGAGAAAACTTGTTCGTAGTCAAGTTTTTTTCTTACCACATCAATAATTTTTATTATATTTTTCTTTGTTAACACAATAATTTTTCTATTAGTTTTACTGACAAAACAATAATCTAAGCTATTTTTTCTGGACAAAATGAAAATCATTATTGCGTTACAAGTATATAAATAAAAAAAATTTTAGTACAAGATCGTATTTAAAATCAATAGACTATGTATTTTAGCCTCGTACCATGTCAACTTCCTTTCTTTTGCAATGTATCGAAACGTCAGTCTATGTTTACTAGATTAGCTGTACAAAATAAATTCCAACTTCACGAGGGATATCCTCCCTTCAAAACGTAATTCTCATAATTTTAGGATTCATACTTAAAAGCCTGTCGTAACGTGTCCAAATATATATGTTCAGAAAAGTCTTAACGATAAGTCAATTATGAATGTGTACGTAGGATCAGGAGAAACAACGTATTTTTCTTTCTTTCATGCAAACCATGTAACATGCAAAACGTACGTATAGCACGCACATTTCATGAATATTAAAATACACGAAAGTAGACGTTTGTGCCGTGATCTTAAATAATACGCTTGGAATTATAAATTACCTCTGATATACGAAAGACTTTTTTGCTTTAGAAAAATGTAACTCAATTGCAAATTCGTTGCTAAATATATACGTTGATTTTTCGATGCATCAAATAAAAAACCAACAGAAGTATCAAGTCTTACGTAGAATCTTTTACTCATGAAAGTGTAGTATCGCTTCAATTGTAATAAAAATTATCAGTATTATTTGTCACAATGGTTAGAATATACTGTAGCTAACGACATTGATACTCTGAAGTTATAATAAATTACTGAATGTACAGTGATCATTTTGACAGTGTAGCTTAGCAAATATTTTAAAAACTCCATGCTTGAATCGTAATAAGCCATTTACGTTAAAAACTGTAGTATTTACTAAAAAAAAGAAAATAAAAAATTTAGTTTCCCACTTTGATATAAATATTAATGGAATTTTAATTATTCGCACCCAAATGATAATAGATAATAGAAGACTGCCATTATATTATCTTAAGTGTCCAAGAGACGTGGCAGTAAAGGTCTCTGGCTGAAGCGTGATATGGTGCGAGCGGATCCTGAAATATATTTTTTAATGTATCAGCTGCATTCAATAAAACTTTCATAATCACAAACGATCAATTTTAAGTGAAAATATTTGAAATTAATTTTTTTATCGAGATGGTTTTTTTTCATCTTATTGTATTGTTTTCGATGTTTCAAAGTAAGTACTCAGTATTTTTTTGTATACCTAAGTATTATGTTCATAAGACACCAAAAATTAGGCTTCCTTGCAAGAGAAAATTTGTGCCAGTCATACATGGCATTTTAAAAAACTCTTCTCATGACATTATTTATGGCATGACATTGAAAAAACTATGGAGATTTCGTTAAAAATGTTACACATTTCTTTTGCTACTATTGATTAAAAAACGACTTCGTTTCGTTCACAACAGTTTTTTATGCACCCAATCGAAAAGTTTTTTTGAGATTGAGTAACGAAAAAAAAATACTAACTAATATTAATATTTTATACGGTCCAGATTTGAGACAATAGTAAAGTTTTAATAGGTGTTATTATTATTTATTATTATTTTTTTTGTCGTCTAAAATGTTTTTATAGAATCATCGATAAAAGTAGTAACTAGGAAGAACTTTTATGGTTTATTACCCTATTAATAAACTAATAGCTATTAAGAATTAATAATAGTAGATAATTTTTATTGTTTTATATTCCATATCAAATGAAAAAAGTAGTAAAAAATGATAAAAAATAATAATTTTCATCGGCACTGTTGTACTTGCGTTATTAATTTCTCGTTATTGGTCTCACGAACAAAAAAAACAAATAATAAGGATTAAAAAGTTTTAATACTTACTTTTGATAGATTAAAAAACTGATTTTATTTTTTCTTCCTACAAACATTTTATAATAATTATCAACTTATCAAATAAAATTATTTCCGCTTGGG